TGCTTAATTTACAGGGGAAAGACTCTAGCATGCCTGGAGGTAATTGGTTCCAGCTTCTTATGGTAAAGAGTAATTTGTTTGCAAGGTTAAATCTAATTTGCTGTCTGATCTAGTTCGTACACTTTTCCGAGCTTTAATTGGAGCAGTGTGCGTAGATTTTAATAATGAATTATGTTAACAGACTGATTACGACATGGTCGACTATCTGAATGAGCTGCGTGAAGGCGTGTTGGAGGCATATACTGGTATCGTGCAGGGATTGAAAGGTGACGGAACTGCGCCCACTCCAGATATACAGTTGCTGGAACCCCATGTCACATTCATTGTGCAGTTCATTACATTTGTAGCCCAGGATTCTGATCACTCGGATAGTAATGTGGCAGCTTCTGCTGGCCTCGTAGGGTGAGTTATTGGTATTTATTAGCTGTTGAATATAATATCAGGTTTGTCTTTATTTATTACACGCAGATTCTGGTTAAATCAGGACATCGCGTAATCAAAAATGGTAATTGCAAAATATTTTTTATGTTATAATTGTAATGGAAGAAGCAAAGTCTATAATGAGAACTTTATTGTAGCAAGGAAGTAATTTTGTTAATGTAAGATTTGAGGTTTTCACAACAGTGAATATGAAGATTTCTGTCTTCTGGGTTGTTGCGCTGTGCAGTCTGGTTGATGTTAACCAACGTTTCATCGGTCATACTGCCTCCGTCATCAGGGCGATGAATATCAGTATGACCTCTGAAACGTTGGTTACCATTGACCAGACTACACAGCACAACAACCCAGAAGACAGAAATCTTCTATTTTGTTAATGTTGTATTTGACAGGGAGGGCTTTTTTCAGCGCCTTTATTACGGTGGCCATGAATTATCTATAACCTTCTGCACTGATTGCTTTTGCGATTTTGTTTCTAATGCTATCTATAGCTGGTAGCTTGTAAATACTGTTAACCCACTTCCTTATTCTAGGAGAAGAAAATCCGCTTTCCAGATGTTAACTGTGGTAGCATACACCTCCAAATTTTAGACAGTGAAAAATGTCCATTTTGTTTTGTACTCCACTGAGATGCAGAAACCAGTTATTTTCTTCCACCCAGCTTTACAGCTTTTCTCACATGTTATTTGTGGTGCCAATTGGTCATGCCAATAATTTAATGACAAACAGCGTGTGAGGACTAATATTTCTACGTTTGCTTTTGTCAGTAAGACAACTTAGCAGCAGTGAACTGTGACAGGAATGTTAGTTCTGGTTTATGTCACATGGTTGGAGGAAACGTTACTTTGATAATGAATGTGTGTATCCCAAGTACTGTTACTGTCTTCCTGTTTTAGTGATTTGTGCACTGCATTTGGTGCTAAGATGCTGCCGTTACTAGATGTGGAGCCCATAAATGAATTGCTGTCCCAAGGAAGACGTTCCCGAGCGTCAAAAACGAAGACGCTGGCCACGTGGGCTACGAAGGAGGTCCGCAAGCTCAAGACGGCCACCTCCAGCTGGTAAGTGATTTATTTGAAAATTCAGTAGGATTGTGATTAGGTGTGCAGACACTTCAACATTTTAGGTTTGGTCGGAATATTTTGCGAATGTTTTAATGAATCGTTCTTTTGGCGCTGATACACAGCTTTTTAAAATTTAGCCGAGGGGCATATGCATGGAATGAAAGAATGAGTCACTTGTTTTATTGTTTATAAGCCTGTTTATCACATTGGTTTTTCACACACTTTTAAGTCTATTAAATGCTTCTAAATACTTTGGAATTAACTTTGAGAAATGAAGAGCAGATGAAATTTGGGGAATGCATGTGTAGTGAATTAATTTTAGTTAATATATGGTAAATTAGGAATGTAGAGATTTGAAGTTACATAGAATTAAGTATAGTAGACATTTGAATGTAGGGATGTGTTGATGTCATTTCCTGGCATTGAGTAAAG